TAATGATTTAATTGTCCTCTACATCTCCTCCTCTCCAATTTGTCTTCTTCCAGAGAGCAAAAAGCATAGCTTGCCGACAAGGGCCACTCCACAGCTCTTTGTTGTAGGCTAACCTACTCGAGGAGGGCAAGCGCTTCAAATGCGCGCCGCCCTCCGTCCCCCAAGCTCTGGGGACGCCCAGCTGCGGGCCGGCGTGTGCACAGACGTAGGGTCTGCAACCCCAGGCTGCCCTACCTTTTCCTGGGTTGATGGCATGCAGTGGTGATTTACTAGGAAAAGACTGCTTTTATGTTCCATGGATGCATAGGAGGGAGACCCTTCCCTAAGCAGAGTTCAAGTTTCATCTGAAGATGGGGATTAAAGAGTCTTTAAAATTAACGGTATCAAATTGCACGTATGAAACAGTGATAAAGCGACACAGAACACCTCACAGGTAACACGCAGGGCTTACTGCCAACACATAAACCTGGCGTAGGCGGCTCGTTCCGGCCGGCGCCGGCCGGCAGGGGGCGCGGCGGAGGCGGCGGCGGGCTGGGGCGGGGAGCGGAGCTGCTGCCATCTGGGTCCGCGAGGACGCGCCTGGAGAGCCGCACCGGCTCTGCGCTCCGCTCCGAGACCATCTTCTTCTCTTTTGCAGCTTCCCACTTCCCATCTGTGCCCACCCACTGGTTTCTCAAAGAATTAAAAAAAAAGAGTAAAAAGTTGGCATGGTGCAAGGGAAAGAACCAGGAACGCGCGGCCTCGCCCCGGCGGCGGCTCTGCGCTGGCCGCACGTGGCGCGCTCCTCGCCGCGGACGCCGGGCTGGTCGGAGGGGCGTGTAGTCGTACTTTGTAACTGCCAGCGAAACGTTTCTCTTTCTTTTCATCTTCGCCAGTGCTGCCTGCAGACTCCAAAAGGCATCCTCAGAAAGCTGATAATTAAAGCAGCGGAACCCGAGGATGAGTAATCATTGCCTATTTTTCTTGGGTGCAGTTCTTAAGAGAAAACGATGTCCTTGCCAATAATTATTAGGTTATCATCTTGTCATATTAACCCTCCAGGAGCCACAAATTGAGGATAAAGGTTAGGCCAACCTTTGCTGTTCAGCTCTCCAATTCAAATAAATCTAGTATTCTAGGGGTGAAAAACAAAACAAAACAAAACAAAACCAAAAATCCTAAGCATCAGTTATTTCTGAATAGAATACAACTATAAGACTGTTTTAAGGATATAAAAAATGATTACTTGATAAAGTGGCCATTTTACTCAGTAATAAACGCTTCGAAGCAGCAGAAACTCAGTCTCACAGCACATTTTGTGGACCGCTGTTTATAATATTCTGCCATCTTGCTGGGATGCTTTACGTTGCTTGGAGTAATAGCTTTCTATTGAGTGATGAGTGAGACTTTATTTGTGTATAGATGGATTACTGCAAATTCCACTTCTCTAAAGACTAGAGCCTTAAACAATAGGTACTTGTAGACATAATGCTTTGTTGATGTGCTTTGGAGGTTGAGAGAGAATTTATGGACAAGTGGGATTTGTGTTCGGGCTGAACAAAGGGTCCCTTAGGGTCTCTACTCTGGTTTTTTCTCAATGAGGAGAGATGGGAACATGATAAGAACAAGCTGAGTCAAGAGGGTGTCCTCAAAAGGAAGTCTTCATGTTGTGTCTCCCAAAGGCTTTGTCCCTGGGTGTGGCCCCAATAGAAATTCCTCGGCTTCCTTTGTCAAATTTACCTAATCTTGGGCCTATAAGAGAAGATTCTCCACTACAGACCAAGGAGGTAGGTAGTGTCAAGGGCATTTTTTATTTTCATTTTTTTACTGAATGGATGAAAGGTTTTCAGTAAGTAACAAAGAGAATGAATAGTTAGTGTTTCATTGGCTGAATCAATCCGGGGTTCCAAAGGTCTGTGTTTTATGCCAGTGTCTTTGACCACTCACACCCTCTCCGCGCACGCCGTTCTCATCTCGAGGAAGGGACTTTTCTTAATTATTTCTGGATTTTCTTAAGCAACAACTGTTCTTGTTCTGGATTTATGTTTCATCAGGTAAGAACCCCATCTTTCCAAATTGGCCCCTAGGTTACCCGTCTTCACTTAGCAAGTGAAAAAAACAGTTTAAAATTATATGAAGGAAAAATTTTCTCATCTGAAAATTTGAAGCAATAGAAGTTGGATTTCGCAAGTTTGTTTTGGGTAAGCAGCAAGCATATTTCTCTTGGTTGGTTCAGCAACAACATTTCTGTCCCGTCATCTAGTTAGGGATGAATGGCATATTGTGGTTTCCAAAACTGAGACTGCATATGCTTCACCCAAACTTGCTCAGTTTGGGAAGCTCACAGATAGGCTTGCCTTTGATTTTTTTCATTCCCCTGAGTTTCTCTTTTGGCCAAAGAGAAATTGCTTCTGTGCCATTCGAAATACTTGAACTTATTTGCAATCCAGAATAGAGAAAGCCAGGGAGGCCCTTTTCAGGATTTCATTGACATATGGTATGGGGTTGGGGGGGCAGAAGAAACAGGAAGGTCACAGAAAGTTCTGGTGTCTTTTTTCTCTTTCTGGAAAAAAGATTGGTGTTGATTCACAAAGAGAAGCTCACAAGAGAAGCTGATGGATTTGATGATATGCCTTGAACTTCTCAAACAAGCTTGTCACAGTGGTCTTTGATCAGTCTACTTTGGATAAAACTCAGCTTGTGCCTTCTATATGTTATAAATATATAAGGTTCTCAGAAAGACAGGGGCACAGGGAGGGACAGGTACATAAAGAAAAAAATAATTTATTATTAAGAATGTTTTGGAGGTGATAGAAATGTTTGTGAGAAAATATATTCATCTAGATTTCTCTAGAAAGACCAAGATGAACAGGAATGGCTCAAAATAAAACAACCAAATAAGAACAGGTGGGACAGCTAGCTAGCTGGCTGCCATGGGCCAGCCACTGCCTTAGATTCTGGGGAAACCCGGAGCATCTAGTCTAACAGAAGAGTTTATCATGGTAGCTTAGGTAACTGGTATCTTGGAAAAAACACAGCTCTTGACAGAACCCAAATACAACTTAATTTTGCTGCTGCTGTTCTTGTAAACTTTATTCAGTGGTGCTAATATCCATGACCCCTGGATAAAAACCCTGGAAGCTCCCTCTGCTCTTATGCTCATTCTCAAATAATATAAAAGGCCCATGGTCAACTGGTATCACAAAAACAGTCTCATTTAAGCATCTAACATTGCTGGTTCCATGCAACACCCCAAAATTGACCTTGGCGTAGCCATGCTTTCTCCCCGTGGCCTTCTGCTGCCTGCTGTGCCTGGGACTGAGGCTGGGGAGTCCTGCTGTCTCCCGGTCCTGCTCCCTGAGGTCTCACCTGCCCTGGGGGCCTTAGGGCGTGTGTGTCCCGGTAGCAGTAGCACAGGAGAGAAAGGTAAGAGCTTCCGCCCTTCCTGGACTGACTGGCTGGCTGGCGTCCTGTTTCTGGGCTGGCAGATGGTTTAAGGCCACTCTCCATGATGGACTCTCTGCAGCACTGATTCTTTGGAAGCTCCCAGCAGCACGCCTCCTTAATCGTGCAGTTCCCTTGTTCCCTGGAGGAGTCATCGCACTTCCTTCTGGCCATCCCTGGACTGGCCCGACTGGCCCGCCCTCAGCCCTGGCTACCTGGCGGTTGCCCTCAGCCGCTTCTTGCCCAGGTGCTCGGGGCTGCTCCCCGCTCTGGGGAGCCCCGCTGGACACGTCGGGCAGCGTTTCCCCTGCTGTCCCCGCGGACACACTCCTGGTCCTGGGAACTCCCCCCCCCGCCCCCCACCTGGCTGGTGCAGTCCTGGCCACGAGCGTCCGACCACGCTCTCTGGCTCTGCCCGCTAGGCTGCCTGCCCGCGCCTCTGGCCAGACCCTGGGACGGATCCGGGAGGTCTGCCTGGCTTTCCGGGGCCGCCCCCATCCCCCATCCCCACCCCTGCAGGGGCGGCCGCACCTGTCCCTCTCCCTGAAGGGGACCGGCACCAGGAGGCGGTCTCTCCACGCCTCCTGGCCTCTCTACTCCGTTGCTGTGTCCTGGGTCTGGCGCAGGGTCCGCGAGCTCGCACAGGTCCGTGGGCTCTTGCTCTGCGCCGCGGGGCGGGGCCGGGGAGGAGGAGGGAGTTCCGAGCTGAGGTCTGAGTTTTGGAGATTCAGCTGGACCGAGGGAGTCTGGTACTAAATCTGGTTACTCAAACCCAGTGAGGCAGTGCAGTCACTGTCACCATGAACTCCAAGTGGTTTAAATAACTTGTCCAAAGGCAGCAACTCTGTAATGAAAGTCAAACCCAGGCCAGCTAACCAGATTCTGCCTTTGTCACCGAGGAGCCTGGGGGCGGCGGAGGGAGGGGAGGGTAGGACACAGCAGCCTCCTGGAGCACCCTGGGGAAAACAAGCAAAGACACTTGGGCGAGAAACCAGAGCCGGGCCTCCCCTGGCTTGCGTCGCCGCCGTGGGCCCACGCCTGCTCACAACGGACCCTTGTGGGAGGCGCGAGGCCGTGCCACTCGGCGCCGGCCCCGTGGCCGTCACCGGACCGCTGGAGATGGGACAGCGCTCGGACGGGAGCCCGCTTGTTCGCTCGCTCTCAGTGAAAAGAGTTTTGAAATGAGTTCTGAATAGACAGCATTTTCTTTGTGCAGTTGGTAAATAACACAGAGCAAAGTTAGCAAGTTGCAGCGCTTCCGCATTCTGATTCTATGGAACCTTTTTGTAGGGAGAAGGGCAGGATGTTTTTCACAGAATGTGACCTCACGGGAATACTAGAGGTAAGGAGGAAAAAATGATGGAGATAACTGTGAATATTTTACATCTTGGAAAACATAGCTTTTAATAAAGCTACATGGAGAGAGAAGATTTCTGGAATCATACTACACAAACACCAACGCCTGGTGGAGTCGTGGAAAGTGCTGTTCACATTGGTTTGGCATTTGTTTAGATTTGATTAAAAATCAATGATTTTCTGATGGTAATTTTCATGTGCACATTTTGTTTTCTCTGTAGAAAATAATAAAATTTCTGAATGGGGCAGCGTGGAGAAACCCTAACAGAAATAGCATAAGAGCATTTTGGAACATATCCAGGAAAAGATAACTTTCGACCCACCTGTAGACATTCGCCAGGTAAAGGTAAGAAAAAGATATCATAAAAAGTAGATTCAGATTACTTTATTGCAGCTCACTGGGTTGAGCTTTGGGAGAAAAACACATACTGCTGACAAGGGAGGAAGGGGGAGTTAGGAGAGTCCACCTTTTGCCCCTCCCTCCTGCAGGCATGGGCATGGCAGTCCTGTGTTGACCCTGACAATCAGTGGTCACCTGGGGTTGTTTCTAAGGCCAGCTATAGAGCAGTCAAGGACTTGCTCAGGGGGTGGAGGGGACCTGACGGAGTATGACGTTCGCAGGCACTTCTCCTGCTAAAAAGCCAATGTATTTAGTACTGCAAACGCTACTTGTACAGTATGGAATTTCTTTTAGATTTATATTTGCACTGGGACTGACTCATTTTCTATTTAGGATTCTTAAAAAATCACTTTTTCTGTGCTCAGATGAAAAGTACATCTGTTGCTTACATATAATAAGCATCAAATATGAAGACATGTTGAATACTTGAGCCGTTTGTTTGTCGCTATAGGAGACCTGCAACATATGTACGCTCTATGTCTCTTTGTTGGATTATAGACACTGAGGAATCAAACTTCTTGGTTCTTCCCTTGAGCAACAAGATTCTTTTTAAACCCTTAGCTAATTTAGGTCACTAAAAATGAACACTATTTAGAACTCTTGAACGGGTACTTTGAATGAAGTTCAGAGGTTCAAAGATAGCATTGGTCACTATGCAGTACTTGGGATGCTGGATGGGTTTCTTAAACAAAACTTAATACATACAATGTGTTGGTATGTTATATACACATCACAGCAGCACTGTAACGAGATTGTTTTTCCAACACACATAGATGGTTCTCAGGACTGGGTCAGTTTTATGTCTCATTATTGTGGAGAAAGTAAAGCGGTCATGACGGGAGTGCAACAGAGAGTGAGGCTCCCAGCATGTGTGCCAACAGGGAAGAGTGAGTTTCCAGCAAGTGGTCAATACATTTGTTGCATACAACTTGGAGCCTTGACCTTTCTAACTATTTCAGATAAATTGCTGTTAAATTAACTGGAATGGTCCCCTTCAGATTAATTTAGAATAAGTAATGCGAAAGAAAAGATTCTCCTGTAAGCCACGTTCATGCAGCTGAGATAAAACTGATGATGTTCCTAGCAAGATAATGCTAGGTTAAATAAATTAAAATAGCCTATTGCTTTCCGTACTGACTTTGTAAACAAACTTCTTAGATGCGATAGCATCTTTGGTTTGTGATTGTGTAAGTTATTATCTGGGAAAAGCTGTATTTCCAACATGAAATGAAAATTAAAATCAAACATCCCAAACTAAAAGAAAGGTTTATCTATTTCTTTAAACATTTTTAATGAAAATGCAGCTCTGTATATCACCACCTAAGAAATCTAGTTCCTTGAGTAATGTGTGGGTAAATTGGGGTACAAACTTGGGAGGGGGAAACCCTGGCCCTTCTGTATTATTTTCCGGAAACCATTTACAGAAGCTGACCAGCAGAGGGCAGCACAGAGCAATGAACTCTCCGAGGAGTTTCCAAACAGCTGTATAAAAACCTAAAGTGAACTTGTCTGCATGAGAGTAATCCTTTTTGGATAATAGCATTCTCTATCAAAATCATAGATCTCTAAAATAATAATAAAAACCCCAGAACACATTGATTCCTAAATGTGCTCTCACCATGCAAGTGTCAAAGTGGAAGGGACAAAACTTTAATTCCCTGAAGACCTCTGAGCTGTTTGCACTTAGATTATCTTTCTGATTTATTTTATTACAAAAGACTATATGAATTCTAGTACTAGTAACATGCACAAGTTTTCATTATACACCTTTTTCAGGGTGATTTTTCTGATGAAAAATATGGAAAATTACAAATTCAGACTCATGGAAGAGTCCCTGTTCAACACAGCATTTGAAGCAAAATGCAATTTAGGGAGTTTTCCATTGAATTTATATTTCCTTGACGCAAAATGGTAGCACATTGTTCTACTTGTTAAATGTTTTTCTCCTCAGCATTACTATAGCAAACATTTTTTGTTCTATAATAAAACACATGGAATACTCAACATTGGGTATACATTTTACACTGGGACTTTGGAAAGAAAAACATACTGGTCTGGAACAGAATCCCAAAGAACTTAGGGGGACAGTTTTATGGAAACAGGTTATATTTTGTTCCAGGATTATTATAAAACCCTAGTTTAACGGTCTACAAATAAATGTTTAGGGGATCTAAATGTCTTTATAGTGAATTTTATACTGTAATCTGAAAGTTAGCATTTAAGATTATCATTCTTATAGGCTAATTAGGCTTATAAAATTCTTTTCTCTTTTCAAAAGTTCACGAGCACATAACAAATTGGAACTACGTTTACAAGCCAAATGTCCCTCTTGTGCCATTAGCATTCTTGGATGTATCTTCTGAGTGACTTTGGCTCATATTGACTTCAGATATTTGACATATCAAGTATTGTTGTCTTCAAAGGTTTCCCAGGCAACTGCAACAATTCATCTGGTTCCAGTCAAAAGTGCCCTTGAACTCTCAGCTCACTCACTTCCCTGTATGAATAATGTGTGTAGCAAAAGGAAAAACACCAAAGACTTCATGTAATAGGCTAATGCGAAGGGTGTGGTGAAGAGAAGGATGGATGTCACAAAAGTATCCACTTGCAGGTTGAGACTTCAGCTGGCTGCCTGCTTTTGTTCAGCTCTCATTTGAATTTGGGGGGAGGCCACAACCTGCGCCCTGTGGTCTGGGTTCTGCTTCATTCCTCCACACAGTCCCTAGGCTGACTCCTGGAAGCAGAGCCCCAAGCTCCTGGCCTGAGTGATCCCAAGAACTCCTTTAGTACCAGTTGCTGTCCCCCCAGGGAGCAACTGCCTCCAAATCTCTGAGTGACACCTTGGGACCCCAACTGACTTGCACATGCACTGACCTTTGAGAATCGCCGTCTACATCTTGTTTCTCACATGACCCAATGTGAAGGTCTGAGTAGAGTCTCGTTCCATTATGCTTAGAGAAAGGGTTTATAATTACCTCCCAAATAGCGCTTGAAGAACAGAGAAAGGGAGAAATTGGAATTGCTGATCCTCTGGTTTGCAGAGGGTCTCTCTGTTTAACGCTGATTACATTCTGTGTTTTGTTTAAAAGAAAAGATTTCACCTCATCTAGGCGGACAGTACAGTTGGCACATCATTTTGTTCTCTTTTTTCTTTTCCTTTGGCTCTTGTCCCCACAGCTGATTGACTAGTGACCAGCGTGGTGACAATAGGGCAATATAACACATTACTATGTAGCCTGCAGACCCACTGGCGGGCTCTGTGAGCGGGAGCACCTGCTGCCCAGCACAGCGCCGTGCAGTCTCCCCGTCGCTCCACGTGGGACCCAGCCTAGAGCTGCAGCAGTTCATGCCTTGTCATTGAGACGCAGCCACGGGAGTGTGGCTGCCACTCTTCCCCACCCTCACCGTTCCTTTCTCCCTGCATTTTTCAAATTTTGTTTTGTTTAGTATATTTACTGAGACATAAACACTCCATTGAAATGTGTCTAAGTAGGCAGATTTTTAAAAATCTGTTTTTATGGGTCTATAACAAATCTCAGTACGGATATCTTCTCATCTATATGAAAGCATATATAATATGAAATGTATAATAGTTGCTTTAGCTCTAGCCTTTCTGTCGCTACAATCACTACTGTGATTATTACTTTGAATAATCCTTGGGTTGTTAAAATTAACATAGATAAATGTAGTTTTATAGTGGGAAATGTAGTCATCAGGACGTGAAATAATAGCAATCAATTTGAATAAATATTTGCTATTTGTTTTCATAAAAGTTTTAATCCCCCAAAGAGAACTCTGACCAAAATAGGAATATAGCAGGATCAATGAAACAGGTGGCATGAGTCATATCACTGGCTTTTAATTAAAAGGATGCTGTCGATGCTGGCGTGGACTGGACGGCACATAGGCAGTTTTAGAATTTCTTAAGCTGAAATCCAGCTGGAGGGTTCTTAATCAGAATGGACTTATTTTGATAATTTATAATCTGTGTATTCAGAGCATTGATGTTATAGTTTTGATACCTAAATCACAGTTTTAGAAATTCAAAGAGATATATGAATCCCGAGACTTGGGCAGTTATTCCTGAGCCAAAGGATTTTTGTGCAATGCTAATATGTATAATAGAGAATCAGTCTTTCACTGTGCACTTTTGTCATAATATTTCAATAACTGAATGAATATTCTGAATTAATAAGCATAACGTTTGTATAAGCTAAAGACTAGTCTAAGCTCTGTATTCATTGATAGGAACCTTAAGCAAATGTTTCTTTTCATCAGCTTGTTCAAAAGGCATAAACATAATTATGGCTCTGAGGCAATCCCATATCGACCAGTTAAAATGGTAACTGGGTCTGGACGGGATAACTTCAAGTTATGGGTCACATGTTTTGAGTACTTGGAAGAACCTGGAAGAAATTATTTTTATTTTATTTTTTCATATGTAGATACTCAAACTGTTTATCTTGCAAAAGAAAGTCTGGCATGAAAGCATATCAGTAGGATCTTTTGGGGTTTTAGTTTTTTTAACTAGAGCATATGGTTAAAATTTAGACAGATAAGTTGATATTTACCACTTGAGAGAAAGTATAGAAAAGCAGTAGAAATATTAAAGGGTGAGTTAGCTTTAAATTTCTTGGAATCTAAGGTGGCCGTGAGGAGAAGAAAGGGACTTTGCTTGCTGTCTTTCCCTGCAGTCTGCTGTGCACTTCTAGTAGGTTAGTTCAGGAAAACAGTGCTGGGGTTCTCGGTCGCCCCTTCTTCCATCTTCCTTTCCTCCTTTCTTCTGCATCCCTCCCATCATCTGCTCTTTGTCTCTTGCACATTAGGACTCTGAAACCAGAGAAGGAATGCGGGCATCTGAGCTGCACGGGCTTGGACGCCACTCTGCCTCCTTTCGTCTCTGCGGTGCGTGTCACTCACTCTCGCAACAAACATCTGAGCATTTC